TGAAGGATCAGCCAAGGTTCGTGCCCTTATGGGGTCAAACAAACATCAAATATGGACAGGCTATGACTTTCCATGGGGTTGGGTGGACATTATGGTGGCACAAAGACAACTTTATTTAAAGGTTAAAAAAGGCTGGCCATCCCCAGTTCACCAAAGCTTTTTCACTAGTAACAGTAAAACTGGAAATGTCTTCTTCTCTATCGTATTAATTTTAATATTAATACTAGTAAAGAGTCTAAATCTTACCCTTCATCTCTTCACCATTCCATTCCTGAGCATCTCAAACATTTCTATGGCTCTGCCAGTGACTCCTGCAGTGCAGTAAATGATCAACAATGATTATTACACAAACAAGATACACTGAAGAAATTATAGGTAGGATGCAATAAATGTATGTAGGGCCACCACAACAGATTTAGAAATATAAAAGTATTTCTGCAGTTCATTAAAAAGAAAATGTTTTAATTAAGTAAAATACATCAAACACACAAAAAGAATAAAAACTGGGGAGATTTTTGACGGGGATGCAGTTTTAAAACCCCCACATTTCTCAGGTGAAGTGTTTCAGATCCACCAAAGGCTTCAGTGTTTCCCATTGTGTAAGAATTATTGAGGCAGCAGTATCTGTGCGCATTAAGCACTCTGAAAGCACACATGGTAAACAAAGACTTAAGCGCATACACAAGCATGTGCGCGCACACGCACACACAACAATGGCTTGTATGTCAAAAGATTAGATTTCCATCGTGTTTGTTGTTTTAGGATAAGGCATGCGTGAACAGAGAAAATATTTTGCTTGCTCATAGGCATCTGCTGAAAACCAATGGAATTTCTAAAATTGTAAATAGGTTTGTTTGCTTATGCAACAGTTTTGTTCCTTCTTTGAGGACAATATTCACAGTTAACACATAAGTATTGATTCAAAAGCCACATGTGTAAAAAGCAACTCCTACCAGGGACTAACAACCAGTGTGTCCTTATAATAAACACATCAGTAATTGTACAAATACTCTTATTATCAAACTTACTATGACTGCAATTATGGAATGCTTAACAACAATCAAATCACCGTATAAAGGCAGTCTGATGAAAACAAATGTTGAAGCACACAAAAACTGACTGTGCTGCTCTGCAAACTATGAGACTATGCGGACAGAGAACACACAAAGCAACATGCTGACATATGAGAATGATCAAAGGTTGTCGCAAAACCGAGCATAAAAAAACAAATCCCATATCTGCGCAGAGCCAAACCTGATGGCCCAAGACTAACACTTGGCTCGGGTTCCCAGCAAAACCTGCATCCGACCATATATGGAATAAAAGAAAACAACTGAGTGCTTGTTTCCCTTTGAATATATGGCACTGATGTGCACGGCCAAAATCATTAAAACATGCATTTGTATAGGGTTAGCGGCACAGAAACAAGACAGGAAAACAATAGCTAAATGTCTTTGTTCCTGAATCACAAAAGCTGATAGCCGGGTTATTTGCATTCACAAGATTACGTGCAGCTATCGCTGCAAAACGGTGAAGCCCACATTGTCACAGAGGAATAAAAGACATTATTTTAAAAGGCACTGGCTCTGTGTTGAAGAGCAGGAGATACTGTAGCATTCTTTTGTCCATTAAAGGACTTTTATGGGCTCTTGTGCTCCCACTGAAGCCATGCCTATTGGCTCAAAATTATACTTATTTTGCTGCCCCCACCCCGAGGACTGGTTTTAAACTCTGCTTTCAATCTTAAAGTAACAACAACAAAAGGGCCTGTCAGAGTAATGCTTCCTGACAGCCCAAGATAGACGACAAAAGACAAAAACAACACCCCAAACACTCAAATGCTAAATAAATACCACAAAATAGTGTCAAAGCTTTGAGAGAGTGTGAAAAACTCAAGAATCACAGGAACAAATTTGAGCAGCTTTGAATTGTGCCCGAGTTCATTAAAGAAGAACAAACATGCAGCGTGAAATATACAACCACCCACAGAGGCAAAGTCATTTTAAATCCAGAGTTTGCCCTAAAGTGATACTATCGATTCCTCTCGTAGACGCTACAATAGCCTAATAATGTCTCAGCAAATAATCACATTGCATTCAGAAAAGCAAATTGAGGTGTCTTTTTGTCCCTCGGCTGATCACATACCGCTTTCATCATGAATTTCTATCAGAAAGACAAAAAGAATTGAACACAGACAAGATAAAAGCCTCCAGTGCACTAAGAAATCAAAATTCACTTAAGATGTCAATAGTGTCACAGCCAAAAGATGCCTGCATCGGAAAAACAAATCCATATCAATACTTCGCCAATCAGTTAATTTCATTAAGGCATTCAATGCCATTTACTGATGGGATTGCAAATTGTGTGCAAACAAACCAAAGGTCAGAGATGCACTGTTGAACCGAGGGACAGATTGTATCTGAAGGAATGAAAAACTGTTTGGACTCGGTGGCTGATTAATAGCTACCACTGATGACAGAAGTGAACAAACTCAATTCATTTAGGTTTATTTTACTACCATTTTCACACTATTTAGAGCACCAGGCAGTTTTTTGCCAAAGTGTCATCTTGCTCTGGTTGTTGTCCATCTTTCCATCACCTGGTCCTTTCTGGATCTATTTATGTCCAGAAGGAATGCATCACAAGTTACGATTTCTTTAAGCAGCTGTGAGTGGAAATTGCTTTTTGGGAAGCCATTTATGGCCCCCATTCAAAGGCTGGCATCTCAAACACAGGAAGGAAGGAACACAGAAGTGCTATACAGTATGAAGAGCTTCATTTTAAACTCATCCTAGCATTTATCAAAAAAAGAAAAGCAAGCAAAGCTTTAGGATTTGCCAAGAGAATGCACTCTAGTTAGCTTTGAAATATGAAAACAAGCTTACAGACCAAATTGGGTATGATTTATACTGTAACCAATTCACTATTTTTCCAAAAAATGTAAACAGAATAAAATAAATAAATATAACATCAACTCTCTTCAAACCTTCTCCCCAAGTAGGGCTCTTAAGACATTGTAACCCATAGAAAAGGCACTTAACCCAGCTATGACGTCACATGTGGAAGAGGAGAAGGGGGAAAGAAAGGGTCTGTCCTCCTCAAGGGTGCTTAGGATTATGGCCTGGAAGTCTGTTAGATAATAGATCAAAGAGATACATCAGAGTGCTTTGTGGTTTTCCCACATAACACTCATCTTCATGCATAATGGAATTTCAGGATTTTTTCCCCCCTAGTTCCACCTGAAGAAGAGGTGACACAGAGTGGTTCGAAAAATCTGAGTTTGAGTGCAGGCACTCATAATGCAACCCAAGTGCAGAACTGATGCAGATTTAGTGTTTGCATGCTGCTCTCTTTGTGGTACATTCTTCACTATAAGCTGGCTTTATGTTGCTTAAATCATACAAGAAACAGAACCTAACTTCAGATTTTCCCTTCTATTTAGGAGCAAAATGAGTATTTTGATCTGTCTTTTAATTTCAAGGTAGAAAATAGAGAAATAGTAGAAAAAGCACAGCAAACAATCTAAAGAGCTTGCTTAAGTTACATAAATGCACAAACAAAAACCAAACATGGTAACCACCATCTACGAATAAGATTTTAGTAGTAGTTTCTGTGGCATCTGGTGGTGGCGTCATATTTATTAAAAGTTAGCACTGTTATCTATGGAAGCTTTTTTCTGTCACTGGAAATAATTGAAGTTGAAATTTTAAGTTATCCTGGGTTATACAATGGGTTATATTTCAAACGATTAGATTTCTACCATGTTTGTTGTTTGAGGACCTGCGTGAACAGAAAATAAGTGTAGCATTTTAATTTGATAGGTCAAATACTGCATTCACACGTAAAACAATTATTAGCAAATGTGGGCTAAAGCTAGCACTCTAACCAATCAGCACACAATTAGCATAGTTTGGATACACCCAAGTCTCTAAAACAATACGCCTAACCCTTTCATAAGGATGTCTCAAATTAGCGCCCTTAATTTTCAGTTCAAAGCAGAATTCACAAAATAAGTAACTACGCTTTCTTACCCAGCTAGGCTAGCTGTTTTCCATATCCAGTGTTTATGCTAAGGTAGCCGTCTCCTGCTCCTTTATTGACAGACAAAGCAGTCATTTCATATCAAACAGTTCTTGGCTAGCACTTTCAAAAAGACAAAACCTTCAAGTGAGTAGCAGTCGTATCTTATAGAAACACAATGGTATAAAAAAGTGCAGCATTTTTTAAGAAAATTAGTAGTATGGGGATATTATAGAAAAGCCATCCTTCATATATTTTCAGTGTTAAAGCACACACACTACAGTAATACCCTTACTAGCTAGAGTCCCCTGTCTAAAACAGACACCAACTCTCTCAACCTACAGTTGCTGGCAAACATGTTTTTTAAACCATCAAACCACTTCATCTGAGTTTGTGGCCATGCTGAGCGAGAAAATGTAAGAGTCTGCTTCAGCAGAGCCATTAGTGCTCAGAGACCAGAAAGAAATCAATGGTCAAGTGTTTACACAGGAGAATCCTATTCAGGTGCAGCATCCGCTCTCTGCAAATACTAAGTGCTTAAGTCTGAATGTAAAAATAGGAAGAATAATAGAAAGCAGCAAGCAAAAAACTGGCTCTTTATTGAAAAATCTATCGGGAATGCGAGTCGCCTTTTAGAAGGTAAGACCTTGATATGCAGCCTAATGCTTTCTACAATTGACATCTACTTTTTCAGATTCAGAATGAGGGCTTGAAAAAAATATTTATTTTTAACAAAAGCTATACATACAGAATATGTATAATCAATACCACGGGGCAGCAGTACACTTACAGTCTGAATACTCCATAAAGCAGAGCAAGTTTCATTATATACTCTCATCACTCTGCTGCCACCTAATGGACAAACATAAAAAATACATCATACAAATACATTCAGTCACTTTCACATTTTGTTCATTTGCGGTATTATTCTTTTATTTTTTTGTATGATGTTGCTTTAAATTAAACCTGATTTCAATTAAATATTGTAACTGAAATATGGTTTAATTTCAATTTTATTTTTGATGCCTGCAAATATAACACTTGAAAATACAGTGCATGAAACAATGTTAAAATTGATGTTTTATTCTAAAATGTTAAGACTAAACAAACGACACCTCCAAAGCCAACAGTCTTGCTATTTTAGTGGTTACCGTTAGATCTACAAGTTACTATCAGCAGAGAAATAGCTTATGATGCAGTTACTGTCTTTTAACTTTCAGAAACACACAACGCTGTTCACTGTGGGATGCTTTCGAGTGTGTGTGAATTGGAATAGAGTGCATGAGGGGAGAGCTGATCCACCGTGCTCTGCTGAGGAGACACTATAAGTGGAACGCCGTGGATGACCACATTCTGGCTGCCCAGGCTGATGTTTGGCACCAGTAATGCACTTTCCTCACAGGGTAAGGCACTCTCCTCAACCGTCACCATCTCTGCTGGCTTGGACATGTCCACATCAGGCAGAGGTGCTGTGGTCACCAAAGCAGAGTTTCCTTCCGTAACCACTGTAATCTCTGTGCCACCTTCCTGGATCAAAGCATTGAGCCCCTCCAGTTCAGAGCAGGTGGTGATGAACGTCTGTGTGCTGCTGCTCGAGTCCTGAGCGGTTATGGCCGTTTGCATCAGGGCCTGGTGGAGCGGGTTGCTGGCATCGTCGGTGCTGAGTTGAGTCAGGAGGACAGTCTGGGGTTCAAGAATGGCTTCTGTGGTTTGGGATGAACCGAGTGGTTGTACAGGCGCCAGCAGGTTGACCTGCTGGATCATGGAGTTAACTACCATGTCCTGGTTTTCTGGGCTAAGCAAGACCATGTTGCTCTTATTCTGGCCATCCCCACCAGTTGAGAGCAAGGGGTTATCCTGGCCTAACGGGTGAGCTACAATGATTTTAAGCTGTGTATTACTATAAGGAGGCATTGGGTTACACGGGATAGGAACTTCGAGCTCAGAGCTGGTTTGTGACATGGTAACGGGAACCAAGTTAACTGCTTCTGCTGGGGTAGAGAGCTGGAGTTGCAACACACTCTGAGTGTCCCGATGCTGCTTTTTGTGACTCCGCAGGGAGTCCTCCCTCACAAACGAAGCGTCACACGAGTCGCAGCAAAAGGCTCGAGCTGCATCTAGTTTGGCTCGATACCGAGAGCTGACAGGCTTCGGAGAGTCGGTGCCTAAATTTTTGCCTCCACCTCTGCCTCCTTTCCCACCGCTGCCTTTTTCAAGCTTATCCGACTGACACTTCTTCTTGTGAATGACAAGATTGCTGCGCTGCTTAGAGGCAAAGTTGCAGAAGTCACATTTGAAAGGGCGGTCTTCAGAGTGGATCCGCTCGTGGACCTTGAGCGCCCCCTTGCTGGAGCAGGAGTAAGTGCACTTGGAACACTGAATGGGCTGAGTGGGTTGGTGTTCTCTCAAGTGTTGTCGCAGAGCAGTCTTGTTGGCACACTTGAAATCACAGTGCACGCACTGAAAGGAGTTCTCCGTACCATGTTTGATCTGAATGTGCGATTTCAGGTTTCCTTTCATGGCGCAGCAGTACTCACAAAAGTCACATTTGTAAGGCTTTTCGCCGGAGTGAATCCGGATGTGCCTCTTCAGGTCTGAGTTTATTTTGAACTTTGCATCGCATTGTTGGCACTGAAAAGGTGCATCCCCTTAGAAAATAAATACATAAACAAAATAAAGCCAGTTTTAATACCAGTCTCTGAGCTACAACTGTCACACAGCTGCTGACAATTTTGGATTTTTTTGGCTACCTACCTGTGTGAGAGCGGAGATGCACGGTAAGTTGGCTGGAGTTGCGGCTGGCGTAAGGACAGATCTGGCATTTGAATGGCCGTTCATCATAGTGGATACGCAGGTGCTTCTTCAGGCTGCTGCTGTCTGCTGCTGCATAGGGACAGTGTTTACATTTGTGTGGCTTCTCACCTGTGTGCGAGCGGCTGTGCATGTTCAGCTTGTCCCGCCGACTGAAGCGTTTGTGGCACAGTTCACATTCAAATGGCTTCTCACCTGGATGGCAGACAGAAAAACAACTGGGGTTAAACCTTACTCTAAAGGGGTTTTGCAACTGAAGAACATATTTTGAAAGCATTAGCGTACCGGTGTGAGTTTTAAGATGTCGCTCCATGTCTTTTTGGCCATACTGTGTCTTGAAAGTGCAACCTGTAGATTGTAAAAAAAACAAAACAAACATTTTCTTAAATTGTGTGCAGCCTCTGCATTTGTGAAAAGTCCAATCAACACTGTACTAAATAAATACAGTGCTGTGAAAAAGTTCCCGATTTCTTTCTTCTTCTTTTTTTGCCTATTTGTCACTCTGTTGATGCTTTGTGCCCATAAATTTGTGGGGGTGTGTTTATAAAACTCTGTTATGGTTGTTTTTACTTGTGTCATTTTGTACATTTTAGTTCTACTTTACTGCCTCTCTTTTCAATTTTTTGCTGATGCACAGCATTTTGTGTCAGCGGTGGCTGTTTTACAGCACTTTCCAAAACTGGAATGGAATTTTGAACTTGCCAATGTGTTTTTTGGATCATTGTCCTGCTGCATAAGCCAAACTGATTTTGTAGTAGAGAGCAGAATTCATGGTTCTTTGAATTATAGCTAGTCATCCAGGTCCTGAAGGAGTAAAGCAGCCCAAGACCATCACAATACCACCATGTTTGACTGTTGGTATGATGTTGTTTATGAAATGCTGTGACAGGATGCAAACCTGCCAAAAAGTTAAACTTTTGTCTCAACAGTCCACAGAATATTTTCCTAAAGTCAAGTTTTGCACAGTCTCTTTATTATTGTTGAATAATGATCACTAGCTTTAACTGAGGTAAGTAAGGCTTAGAGTTCCTTAGATGCTTAGATGGGTTCTTTTGTGACCCCCTGGATGCTCCATTGATGCACTCTTGGGTGTAATTTTGTTATTTATGGATTACTTTGCTTGATTATCTTTTCACACAGGGCAGCTTTGGATAGCCTTTTTATTCTAATAAATAATAAATGAAATTAGCTTTTAAAAACTGTATTTTGTATATACTTGGGTTTTCTTCGTATTTTACTTAATAAAGTTTGTTTGATGATATGGAACAGGAAAGTGAAGGAGGCAAATACTTTTTACAGCTATTAATGGTATGGGGCTTGAGTGGCAGGAAGTGCAGTTCTTCCTGTTAGAGATTGAAGATCTGTGTTCATCAGCAGCAAGAGGCACCAACCTGAGAAACAGCAGCTGTGTCTCTTTGAAGTCAGGGCAGGTTTTAGTTTTTTGGAAGGTGTCTTTGGGGCTTTGGTCATCTTTTTGACACCTCTCACAACACAGGTCTGGTAGGTCTCCTCAAAAATAAACTCAGTGCTGGAGTCTGAAAATAATTTGACAGGCAAAGTCAATTTTTCATTCAAATTATGGACAGCAAAAGCAGAAAGAGGAGTATGTTACCTGTGAGAGTGGATGTGGCAGTAGTGGTTGGGGTGTCAGGTGTGGACAGGAAACATTCATTTTGCTTATGGGCGAGAAAGACCTTATAATTATTGTACTGCTTTTTGCAGGAGCCACAGATGTGGATATCTGGGCTCACCTCCACCACCACAGAATGACCTGCAGCCACTTCGGATGGCAGAGAACACAAAACAGGAAATAATGACTTCATAGGACGTTGCATAATGTACATCTGTGAAAGTGATTACAAGATAGCTACAATAATTTGGAGCTAAATCGTGATATCATAGATTTGTCTTCCAGTTATGAATTTTAGCAACTGTTTTGTTTTACCTTCAGCGGTGTATGCAGCCATTTTCGAGGTGGTTTTGCTGGAGATCAGCTCATTTTCTGTGTCCTCGCTGCGTCCATTGTAGTTTTAAAACATGCCGACTGGGGTCAAAAAGTAGCCAATGAAACATCACTACCTATTTCCAACTGCGAAATCTACCACGGTTTGCATATCAATAGAACTAGCACTTCACTTCTCTGCCGACTCCACGTTTTACGACATTCTACGTTGGGTTTGTGGCAACCGCACAAGGCTTTGCTTCTGTCGTCATATGCTGCTTTGAGAAACGTGGGAAAATCAAACTACAAAGTCTGATCACCCAAATCAACTTATAAGTCATTAAATAATACTATTAATAAAGCTATCTGACTTAGTGTTTGACTGTCCTATTTAGAATAAACCAATCTCTATTTAACACTGTGTTAATTCTTTTGCAAACCGGGATTTTAAAAGCTGAAATTGCGTATTTATGAGCACTTGAACGCAACATCGTTGTGTGGTGGTGCCCCCGGCCCATTCGAGGTCTTCAGGCTCTGCTTTCCAGATGCTGAACAAAACTAAATCTGATTTCAAAATTTTAAATTCTTTAAAAACAGAAAGTATATTATTTAAAGGTTTAACGAGTAGCTGCATTAGTTGACTTGGAGAGGATAGTAGCTATTAGCTTACTTCTTTGTTCCTAGAAAGCCACCAAAACGGTTACTACTTATTAGAAATGTCACAAAGAGAGGCAACGATGGCTTTTACATGCATGTTGAAACTATTTGTTGGGCCATATAAATGTCAAATTCTAACTTACGTAGGCACGGAAATCAGCAGTTAGCTTTATTGTTTACTCTAGGCAGCAGAATATTGCCTTAACACTTGCTGTGGTGCCTGCAGCGACTTAATAGAGTATTGCTCGTGTGCAAGGTAAGCTTTCAGATGGTAGGCTACTTAAATATACATGCTCTACCATTTTCAAGTAAGGGCAATTTGCTTGGTTGTTGGTGTGAGTGAATGAGAATGCCTCTTTTTTTTTTATGCCAGAGCAGTTGTGCTAGTGTGAATAAGCCATGAAAGTGACTGACATACAGCTCCATTTTCAGTGGCAGGTCCTTAACTGCCTGATTGCCACTGTGAAGCTCAGGAATTTCCTTACGCTGACTTTCCTGCATGGCAAAGGCATAGGACTGATTCCTTCCCTGCTGAAACAGCAAATCCTTGAGACAGACAGGAGGTACACACACATATTTAAGTACACTAGACACATGAACACACACACTTAGACTTGCAAGGCCTTTCATAGCCTACCCACATGAATGTGACTAGTTGATTATCACCCTATTTGACTTATGATTTCACGTATAATCCATAAATGTTCAGTTAGTGATATGGTAAATGTATTGATGATATTATTAACAAAGTACTGTTTTCTTAGCAGTTTGAAATTTGATGACACAGCTCAGAAGGAGACATGGAGACATGAAAATGAGCTAATTAAATAAATAATTGCATCTGACTAAAGAGTGTGCAAATTGCATTCACATAAATCCCCCCCTCCCTCGCAAATTCAGTATACTTAAATGTACATCAAAAGACCACATTTACATGTGACACCCAAATGATTTAGTGGTGGTGTAATAAAAAAAAAAAGACTTATGTCCCTCCCGCCCTTCTCCCAGCAGTGAAGAACTGGCCAAAATGCTCCCTACTTTGATCTAGAACTGTAAATCTGTTTTTCTCACTTTTCACACTCGAAGCTTAGGATTCTTCTTTCTCTCGTATGATTGAGCAGTTTGGTCACTTCGTTAAGTTCAGAAACACTGCAATAACCGCAGTGAAAATATTCCCAAACAACAATTGTAGTCATTTATTATTTGGGCAGATCGTTTTTCCACTTAATGATTTGAAATATCAGAAAGTAACAAGAAGTGCTCATCACAGTTTTCCCCAGTTTATATGTTTCAGTTTCTGCTCAAAATAATTTAAGATCCAGAGATATTAAATTTCAGTGATATGAAGAAGAAAAACATGTAACAAGTTGAAACCAATGAAAATTTGTTGTTTTACATCCCCCCAAAAAACCCAAAACAAAAGAAAAAAAAATCCATAAACTGAATTATCTAATTGTTGTCATTGTTTTCACTTGAACTAATCAATCAGTTCACTATTTGATTAATTTCCAATAGCTCCTGGTTGAGCATGCTGCATAGTCTTGATTGTGTTTTCCCTAGGCTTCCATCTCTTGTTAGAAAACAATAAAAGCACTTTCAGTTTTTGCATTCAGAAACAAACTATCATTTGGACATCCAGCTGTGCCAGTCCTAATTTGTAGACATGCCCCTTTCCCATTCATTGAGACACCCGTGTATTTGGTGAGTGATGTAATGTCCCTCTTTTCCCCAATGAGACAAGGGCAACAATAGGGGGGAGTGCCTCTGTCACATTATTTTCCCCCACCGAGGCACGCCAGCTGCTTACAGTTGCTTAATGGCTACGAGCTGTCACAAGGCATCACAGCCCACTGCCACACAGGAGCGGCAGATGCTTTAATTGCACAATGACTTGTAGGTTGTCAACAGCAATTATACCAGGCTTCCACCTGAGGGCACCCAAAGAACACCGTCGACTCACTTCACAGACATAAGCCTCAAAAGCCGACTGCTGCACGCAAACCTGATCTCTCTCGCTTGCATCCAGATAAGAGCTGCCGATGGATTCCAAGTCTCCTCTAAGCTTAATGGTTTACCCATGTTCTGCAAGGATAAGGGCAGCATTGTCAGACAGAAGACTCAGGACCCCAAAATCATATTTAGACATAAAATATTTACCCAGCTTTGTCACCTTAGGGCCCACTGCCCACCGTGCTGCGGCAGGTTGTGGTGTGCAGAGTTTGAGTAATTTTGCTCATTATTAATTCATGCAATTTTTTTTTTCAGGCGAAGCTCATTTGCTGCCGCCAGTCCTAAGATTATCATCATTAAGAGGAGGCAAATAAATTGGTGAGTTCAGAGCTGTGCTGCAACCTGCTTCAACCCGCATTTGTTCTTATATGTTAATGATTTGTTATTTGTACAGTTCCAAGAAAATAAGATAGATTTGTTGTCCGTTCTATTTCTAGACAGTCCTTAACTCAGGAAACCAAAACACGCACGGCGACCTTTGGTTTGTGTCGTGTCAAATTGAATGGCTAAAAGATGTCCCATGTCCCGAGTTTGTTTTGAGCCATAAGACAAATTATACACACATGTATGAATTCCTTTGGTCAACAGCTGCCATCTCAGCATCAGATAAAACAGAGCCAAAGTCTGGGAACCATCAGATGCCTCTGACACTCCCACTTTATCATATAAGAAAAAAAAGACACTGTACACAAGCATGCGCACAAACACACACATTTGCACAGCAAGCAAGTGCAGCCGTGCTACACACAAAAGGCGCACATGCTCACACGCAAATCAGTGCTATGCTCTTTGTATCTGCCAAGTGATGCAGATGATAGGGCTGCATATGAGTGCATGCAAACCAGAGAGGAGAGGGTACATGTGGCTTCATAGACAATAGCAGGCCATAGCCCTGGGAGGAGTGTGTGCAATCCCAAGGAACATGCTGGGATATAAATTAAGACAAAAATGTAAACTCCCCCCCCCACTTTAAAAAAAATGTAGTTTAGAATTGTCTGTATTGTCAAGTATTAAGATCTAGCGTGGTAGCATGCATTAATGCAAATGTGGCCGTAGTAGCAAATAAATAATTAGGTTTCTTCTCTCCATCTTTAAGGTGCACGTCGCTTAAAATAGATGATATTTTTGTCATCTGTTCTGTCATGTTTATCAGTGCAGTCTGCTTTGGAAAGAAGGTTCTGTAGGTTGTGTTTCACTTTAGTGTCAGCAGGGGGTGTCCAAAAGCAGTCCAGAGAAAGAGACCCCTGTGCTTGTTTCAAGCAGCTTACAAGGCACTGCTCCAGTTTGTAGTAGCTGACATTTTGGAACCAGTGGGTCAGCAAAATGGAGAAACCATGGAGATGTATCAAAACCAGTGAGACTTTTGATCACAGGATTGTTGTGTGTAATTTATTATGGGCCTTTGGTTATTCTTTATCGCGAGTCCTAATTATTTTCGGTGGGAAGTGACCGTTACTGTGAGCGCACGAGTAGTTTTCAGGTGTTGCTTTCTTCTTCCAAGTAGAGCAGAGGAGGAAATGAGGCCATGGGCCGAATATTTCAGGTTTAGGCCGATCTATGGAGCTAAATCTAAACAAAAGGCATGTGCATGCTGTGTGCGCGTGTGTGTCCGTGGTTGTGATATGTGAGTATGAGTGCGCGTGCATACATTTTTTTGTGTGAAATTGTCAATGATGTCACAATGGAAGAGAGAATCTTGATAGTTAGACAGATAACAATGAGGGCGGCTTATTCATGCCCTCCACACACACATACGCACGTGCACACACACACCTATAGTCACACACACAGCATCATCATCGTCACAGAGGGAGCAAGGCTCATAATTGGACAGAGGTGTCTGTAGATAATGAAGCCAGACCTCACACCTGCCAAACCTTGGGGATTTCTCTTGACTGGCCACTTAAATCTTCCTCACTCTGTGGGTCTGGAGGGCAAGAGAGTGAGTAAGGAACTAATGGAAAAAAAGCATGCGCTACAGGGAGGATCCCTGTCAGCACGAATGTAGTGCGGACCCCCACCCCCCACCCCGGCTAACGCAGCCCCCACAGCTCGTTCCATACAGCACCCACCTCACTTCACTTCACTGTAAATCCTCTGGTGTCAAGGATTTCAGACGGAAATGGGGAAATGCTGCACCAGCTATTTTGTTTCAAACTCTCAAAACACTCGCTTCTCCCAAGTTGTCTTTGGTGACAGCGTTGTGTGCGGGAAGCGTATTGTGCCAGCTTTTAGCGGGGTGTCATTCGAGGTGCTGAAAGGGAAATCAGATAGACGCTTCAACGGAGAAATACTTCTATATAGAAAGTTTACCTGACAGTCATCAGTGACGGTGTGACACTATATCACTGGTAGCAAAAAGCTACACCAATTAGGGATCGAGTTTACTCTGGCAAAATCTTAACAATTTAAGGGCAACAAAATGGGATTTTTACTCCGTCTTTCTTCATGACTCGATCCGTAAATGAGGGTTGGAAATCATTGTCATTCAGTATACAGATTAGGCACGGATATAAAAGCAGTGGAGAGATTTCTGCTTATATGTTATTCTTTTGTTTTTGTGTTCCATAAGACCACAGACAGCAA